TCACAACTGCTCCAGGGGGGTCTGACACCCTCTTCTGGCCTCTGCAGGTGCTGACATAATCATTTTTTATGGCAATAGTAACCAAATTCCAAATGCTCGCCCATTCTCATTGACACAAAAAAATCCAGAGCTAGATATTTACCCCACAGGTGTACTTCACATACTAGAGACATTATATGAAACTATGCATCACAGTGTTACTTGTGGTTACAGAAATCAAAAGACAATAAATACCGAGGCATGGTAACACAAGCCTATAATGTCAACACTGAGGGAGACAGGAAGACTATGAGGTCAAGGTCAGCTGTGTGAATGGTGAAACCCTGCCTCAAAAAAATCAAGGGCAGTGGTGGTGCATGCCTTTCATCCCAGCACTGGGAGGCAGAGGCAGCCGGTGAATTTGAGGCCAGTCTGGTCTACAGAGCCAGTTCCAGAACAGGTTCCAAAGCTACACAGAGAAACCCTGTCTTAAAAGACCAAAATAAATAAATAAGTAGATGAAAGATAAACCGCCTGAACAGGAATCAGTCAATAAAGTTCAAGTGAAGTAACTTATGGTTCAAACCAGGCGTAGTAGAGCATGCTTGTAACCCCAACAGTCAAGAGGCAGAGGCCGTGTTGAGTGAGGCCAGTCCGGGCTACTTAATAAAACCCTGTCCTTTAAAACAAATAAATAATAGATACATTCACTTCCACGAGGAATTTTTTATTTTGTTGTTTTTGTTTTTTGAGATGGGGTTTCTCTGTGTAACAGCTCTGGTTGTCCTAGAACTTGCTCTGTAGACCAGGTTGGTCTTGAACTCACCAAGATCCGCCTCCCTCTGCCTCCCAAGTGCTTGGATTACATGTGTGTGCCACCACCGCCCAGCAGACAAGGAATTTTTAGCGTCCGTTAAGAAGAATAAAATAGCAGATGCTTTAGGAAGTTATCCAAGGTGTAGAGAGTGAATAAATGAAGGCTTGGGTTTCCCATAGCTCTAGCGGTTAGACTCTGGGCTTTGAGTAAATGGATGTTATGTTATATTATGTTATCTTATCTTATCTTATGTAAAGCACTGTCCTTGATTCAAGGAACACAAGTGGTTATAACTATATAGAATACATACTCCAATATGTGTTGGAGTACCCTGCACTGTACCATGCCTGGACAGCTCTCTGAGTTCAGTGCCAGGCTCCCTCCCTATTTGGATAGTGTCTCTAGGCTCTGAGACCTGACCCTGTCTGGAAGCTGTCCCTAAGCCTGACCTATCTCAAGCATGACCTTTGACACAGATCCCTACAGATGCTCTCCCCCTGCTTCCCATATGATAATTAGGTATTGTGCTCAAAACACAAGTCAGGTGATGATCCAGTCGCTGTATTCATCCCATATATCTCCTCTCACTCTGGAATACAGCTGAACTGTGACTCTGAAGCTGTCTCCTGCAAGCCATCTGAATCCTGCTCAATCGCTACTGCTCCCTCCTCCCAGAGTCCCCAAGGAAGAAGGAGACCCACAAGAAGGGAAGAAAATAGGCAAGAGCCCCTGCGCTTGGACCAGCTCTTGATATACAACCCTGACCTGAGTCCCAGAAGCCCACATACAGAGAAGAATCAACTCCACAAAGTGGGCCTCTGACCTCCGCACTTCAACAGTGGCACATGAGTGCACAGAAACACACGCACGCACGCACACACGCACACACATACACATGATAATTTGTTTTCAAAAGAAGTACCTCGAGAAACAGAACTAATGAGAAGGACTTGAGAGAGGATACAACTCAATTAATTAATCCACGACTCAATACATGATAATTTAATAAGAATAGTAACTAATGCAATGGTACATACTTGTCATAACCACCCTACATAAACTAATTCAGTATTCTCCTTTAGACATAAACGTTCACATATGTGTCTTACTTCACTACAGTAGCAACTTCTTTTATCATTTTAATTGCCCCCCCCGTGTGTGTGTGTGTGTGTGTGTGTGTGTGTGTGTGTGCACGCGCGTGCACCATTGTGGGATGGGTCTGAGAGATGGAACTCAGGAACACAACTTAGCAGTGGGTACCTTTGCTACTGAGCCATCTCACTGGTCTTCAACTTCTCTTAAGAGAATAAACATAACTGAAGCATTTTTATATACTGCTAGTACAACTTTTATCACATTATGATGCTCTCAAGACTATGTGTCCTGAGCTGGAGAGATGGTTCAGCAGTTAGGAGTACCGGCTGCTCTTGCGGAGAACCCAAATTCAATTCCCAGAACCCATATGGTGGCTCCCAACCAAATGTAACTCCAGTTCCAAGGGACCCAGCACCCTCTTAGAATACATGCTGCTGCAGATACACCTACATAATGAGGAAGAAGGAAAAGCACCCTGTAATGTGGACTCTGGACTATTAGAAGAGAGAGAGAGAGCTGTGTCTGCCCTCACCCCATTCCTGGCTAGGCCAGCATCGCTGACTCATAACAAACGTAGACACATCAGCCTCTATCATGCGAGATAAAACTTTTTAAACACTAAATAGACAGGTTGATCATGACCTATAGGTTTTTTTGTTGTTGTTGTTGTTGTTGTTTTTGTTTTTTGTTTTTACGAGACAGGGTTTCTCTGTATTGTTTTGGAGGCTGTCCTGGAATCGGCTCTGTAGACCAGGCTGGCCTCGAACTCACAGAGATCCACCTGCCTCTGCCTCCCGAGTGCTGGGATTAAAGGCGTGTGCCACCAGCGCCCGGTGACCTATAGGTATTAAAATCTCCCATTTCTGAGTTAAAACAACAGTTAGATACCTTTGTAGAAGTGGTCCTGGAGCCGGGCGTTGGTGGCGCACGCCTTTAATCCCAGCACTCGGGAGGCCGAGGCAGGCGGATCTCTGTGAGTTCGAGGCCAGCCTGGTCCTACAGAGTGAGTTCCAGGACAGCCTCCAAAGCCACAGAGAAACCTTGTCTCGAAAAACCAAAAAAAAAAAAAAAAAAGTGGTCCTGGAAAATCGGAGAGGCTTAGACTTCTCATAAGGGGGACTATCTATGGCTTTGAGAAAAACCTGTTGTTTCTACTTTAGTTGATCAGGAGTAATTAAAAAGATAATAATCCTGCCATTTTGTTGGAAGAAAAACTCAAAAAGAAAAAAGAGACAAAGACAAGAACCAGCTCATTGGTTGCACCCTCTGTTCTCTTGATCCCTAGCTAACTGACGTCAGCACTGGCTGGGTCTTCAAGTCTCACTCTGATTGGATTCACAGCAGTGGGAAGTGGGAGGGGCTGCCTCTTAAACAATAGGGCCAATTACGTAGCAATCCGGTAAAAGAATTATCCTTAGAGCCAACCACGCCAATTCGACTCATTCGCTAAGATCACTGGGGCCATGCATCTCAGCATGCAGACAGCACCATCTGCCAAAACGAAGAAAACAAAGACCTGACCCATCAAAGTCCACAGTTCTGGGAAAGTCTCTGAATGCACTAACCTTGCTCTTTTGGCTTCTGTAGTTCCGATTCTGACTGTTTTTGTTAACTGAATTATAGCCACAACCCAGGATACGTTCTTTGTGCTTAAAAGCTAACCTTGAAAAAAGCTCAGGACTACATTAGGATCCCAAACACCCAACGTAGTCATGACTGCCTAATAAAGACTTTCTGTTGCCTTAAGCCTATACATGAGTAGGCTTCTCTGGTTGCTACCCCACATTTCTCCAAGGGCACCAGGAGATATATTGCAGGAAAAACACACACACACATAAAATGAAATAACTTCGGGGGTGGGGTTAGAAACAGGGTTTCTCTGTACAGCCCAGGCTGTCCTAGAACTCACTCTGTAGACCAGGCTGGCCTCATTTAGGGATCTTCCTGTCTCTGCCTACTGAAGTACTGGATTAAAGGCATGCACCACCACTTCCTGGCACATAAAATAATTCTTAAAAATAAAAATAAAATATGTGCTTCATGATTCAGTATCAGACTTTAGGGAAACTAACCATCACCAATATTCAGAACTGATTTAAGAGTCTATTAATCTCACATAAGATTATCTTTCTACAGTCAGTTTCCTAGGACATGTGCAGAGCCACAATTCACAAACGGTGGCTTTCAAATTGCACAATTGTACACACAGTCAACTGTGGTCGTCCTGGACATGTTGGACAGTTCAAAGTATTGAAACATAGACCAAATTTTCTATCTAGTCTCCATTTAAAGGACTGTAATATCTAAGCACAGACTGATTAAACTTAGAGTCCGGTTGGTACCCAGTGGTTTATGTGTAAAGGGTCCGAAAGGGTTAAATGGAATTGTGTGTGTTAGTCTCTTCCCACAAGGCTGACCCATCATGAGCAGCCATCAAGTGCAACTCTTCCTTAAGCAACAGCAGCGGGTCAACAAAACCAAGATCTTGTCAATAATGGGAGAGGGGGTCTATAACCAAAATAGAGCTACTCATAGAACTGGGAGGGCTTTCCCCTTTGATGTGTTGCTAAAAGATAAAAATCAGTCTAGGGATGGAGCAGGGGGAAAAATGGAAGTGATTCTTGGGATTAAAGGCGTGCACCACCACTGCCCTGCTGGAAGTGATTCTTTCTTTTTTAAAGATTTATTTATTTACTATACATACAATATTCTGTCTGCATGTGTGTCTGAGAAGAGGGCATCAGATCTCATTACAGATGATGCCCTTGGTGGTTTTGAGCCACCAAGTGGTTGCTGGGAGTTGAACTCACGACCTTTGGAAGAACAGTCAGTGCTCTTAACCTCTGAGCCATTTTTCCAGCCCCTGGAAGTGATTCTTGAATTGAAAACCTGCCTATAGGCTGGGCGGTGATGGCGCACGCCTTTAATCCCAGCACTCCTGCCGCGCCCGTTGCGCAGCCAGTGTCGGAGAATGTGCGGAGGGTTTTGGGGATTGACAACACAGAGACTCGTTCAACGGTGTAAAGAAAACTTTACATTGTAAAATATTGATAGAAATTATTCTCTAAATTGACTTATAGATGACAAAACAGCAAAAATTCAGGTAAAATCAAGGGACTCAGCACAAGGTCATACTCTTTTATTTATTTATTTATTTATTTACTTACTTACTTATTTTGTTTTTTGACTTTTCGAGACAGGGTTTCTCTATGTAACAGCCCAGGTTGTCCTGGAACTCCCCTGCCTCTGCCTCCTGAGTACTGGGACTAACGGTGTGCACCACCACCACCCAACGACTTTTTTTTTTCATCATTTTTTTAAGTGAATTATGTTCTCCAAAAAGACAAGTTGAAGTACCAAGCCCTGGTACCTTATTTGGAGATCCATTTTTTTTTAAGATAGAAATAAGTTAAAAATGAAGTTGCAAAAAATGTGTCCTTATCTGGTATGACTGTTGACTTCATATGAAGAGGTAGAGACAGCAGGGACTAAAGTGAACAGAAGAAAAGCTTACGAGAGTGCAGCCAAGCCAGCCGTTTGCACAGCAAGGACAGCCTCAGAAACGAAGTATCCATCCCTAGCATTTGGACCTTCAACTCTACAAAGCATAAGGCATGATTAAGCTACCAGTCGTGTTTTGTTATAACAGCCACCGAAAAGCAATACTGTCTGCACTGAAATTTCATTAAAATAAACTTTTTTTTTTTTTTTTGGTTTTCTCTGTATTGTTTTGGAGGCTGTCAGTCCAGCCCGGCCTCGAACTCACAGAGATCTGCCTGCCTCTGCTTCTAAAGTAAGCATTTTATCACTTGCTTTTTGCTTTGGTTTGGTTTGAGACGGGCGTTTCCTGTAGCCCATGCTGCCCAGTGGCTATGTAGACACAGCTGGCCTTGAACTCCTGGTCTTCTGCTTCCACTTCCCAGCGGCTGATATGACAGGTGTGTGTCACCACATCTCACAAGGAAACAGTTTCTTTGAAGTCTTTTTTATTTACTTCATATATATATATATTGGTGTTTTGCCTGCTGGTACGTCTGTGTGAGAGTGTCAGATCTTGGAGTTGTAGTGTTGAGTTGCATGTGGGTGCTGGGCTTTGAATCCCGGTCTTCTGGAGTCAGCGCTCTTAACCTCTGAGCCATCTCCCCAGCCCAGGAAACACATTTTCTAAATTACATGTATTCATCCATTGAGTTTGGGTGTGGGTGTGGGTGTGTTCATGCCACACTGCATGTGTGGAGGTCAGAGGTCAACTTTCCAGAGGGTCCTGAGGATAGAAATCAGGCTGTCAATCTTGGTAGCAACTTCCCTTACTTGCTGAACCATCTTGCCAGTCCACAGGAAACAAAGAAAGAGGCGGGATGATTTGAAGATAAACTACATAGAGAATTCAGGGCTAGCCTGTGGTATACATGATGAGACTCCACTCAAAAATCTACATGAAAGAATGAATGAATACAGTTGCATTATAAACACATTTATGAACTTTGGGGGAACTGTTTATTTCAGTCTACAAAATTCAGACAAGTTATTCTACATTTCATTTTAAGCCAAAATCCAGAAGACATTTTGTATGTCTAGCACGGCTAGAGATCACAATACACCAACAGGGAATGATTTTTAACAGATATCTACAAACATTAACAGGAAAACACATATAACACAAACTACTTAGATCTAAAAGCCTTGGTTTACTAAAAAACTTGAAAGAAACGAGGTTTATAACAACTTTCTCACTTAAACAACATGTCAAGGTGCAGAAGGCAAGAGTCAAAGGTACAGAGAGTACAGGAGGTCCTGGGTTCAATCCCCAGCACAAAATAAAACAACATACATGTGAGAATGGATTCAAGGATGGAGGACCCGACCGTCCTGAGCAACTCACAAACATATTTCTAAGACGGGAACAAAAGCTGCACGTCAGCAGCACAGACAACCACCTTGCCTCTCACAGAGCAGCGACACTTCAGATTTCATAGTTTCGGAACTTCCTCAGGAGTTCTGAGGGAGCGTCGCCAGACCAGCGGAAACGAAGGCGGCCACAGTTCAAATCTGAGAGACCTTTACAAGAGGCAAGAGAAACCCTTCAGTTCCGAGGTCATAGAAGAAGAGTCTCAAACTACCATAGTAAAACAACTGGGGGTCTAGAGTCCATGGCAACCAGTGGGAGGGAGCTGAAGCCTCCCACATGAATTATGCCTTTTTTTTTTTTAAGACAGTGTCTCACTATATAGCCTGGCTGACCTGTGAACTCTCTAAAAACTAGGCTTGGGGTGGAGAGTTGGCTCAGTGGTTAAGATCACTTGCTGCTCTTCCAGAGGACCAGGGTTCAATTCCCAATTCCCAGCACCCACATGGCAGCTCACAACTGTCTGTAACTCCAGTTCCAGGGGATCTGACACCTCCACACCAATGTATATAAAATAAATTATTTTTTAAAAAAACTAGGCTGGCCTGGAACTCACAAAGATATGCCTGCCTCTAACTCTTAAATACTGACATTAAAGGTATGAGCCACCACACACAGCAAATTATTCATATTTTATAGAAACAGATTACCTTACCTCATACTTTGGAATTCTTATGAACAGAAATTACAATTTATACCTCACATGCTTAATAATTATCCTCTCCTGAGATGGGAATTTGCAATAGTATTTTTACTAATTCTTTTGGAATTTCGTACAATATATTTTGACCATATTCACCCTTCTACTCCTCTCCCTAACTTCTCCTAGGCCCACTCCTTACCTGCTTACTTCACATCCCTTCTTAAAAAGTGACCCAGCCAGGCCATAGTGGTGTATGCCTTTAATCCCAGTATTCCAGAGGCAGAGGCAGGTAGATCTCTGTGAGTTTGAGGCCAGCCTGGTCTATATAATGAGTCCAGGGCAGCCAGGACTACAGAGAAACCCTGCCTTGATAAACCAAAAAATAAAAAAGTAGGCCAAGGTGTGGTGGCACTTTTATCCCAACACTTGGGAGGCAGAAGCCAGCACATCTCTTGAGTTCCAAGCCAGTTTAGTCTATATGACTAATGATTTTTTAAGATGCTAAGTGAATTCTTTTGGGGCGGGCAGTACAAGACAGGATTTCTCTGTGTAACAGCCCTGGCTGTCCTGGAACTAGCTTTTTAGATCAGGTTGGCCTTTAACTCACAGAGATCCAGCTGCCTCTGCCTCCATTGCACTGGGATTAAAGGCGTGCGCCCACACCACACAGCGTGTATGGCAATTCTTAAGTTGGCATTGCTGTGCATACCAGAACAGGGTTAGTTGTAACACAACCCATGCTCCCTTATTTCCAGTCTTCTCTTGTGAAAAGCTAGGTGACATATCTTACCTGGGTTTTGTGGGGAGATGGCCATCTCTGGGGATCCAGATTCCATTTGCCTCCTTTTCTCTGTGGTTGAATTTGGTTCTCCTTTCTTTGTTTCTGTCTGCTCATTCCCTTCCTTGTTTTGAACTGTGTTGGTGTAAGCCTGGTCCGCTCCTTCCAGCATTAAGTCTTTCTTACTTCTGACAGCCCAGTGCATTGACTAGATTAAATAAAAGTAGACACATTAATGTTATTTGGGGTTTGTTTCTCACATGAGGTCATTACCTGGTGTGGGGGGGGGTGCAGGGGGGATGGAGCAGAAGACAGTTTCCTGGAGCCTAGTCTCTCCTTCCACCAAGGGTGTTCTGGGGATTGCATGCTGGAAGCATCTTTATACACTGAGACATCTCACCAGCCCTTGTCTTTTTTTCTCTTTCTCCATTCATAGTTGTCTTAGGGTTTCTATTGCTGTGAAGAGACATCATGACCACAGCAACTACTACAAAGGATAAATATTGAATTGGGGTAGCTTACATTTTCAGAGATTTAGTCCGTTATCAGCATGGTGTAACAGAGTGGTGTACAGGCAGACATAGTGCTGGAGAAGTAGCCGGTTTCCTAAATGATTTTTGCAGGCAATGGGAAGTGGTCTGAGACACTGGGCACAGCTTGAACACAGGGGACCTCAAAGCCCGCCTCCACAGTGACACACTTCCTCCGACAAGACCACACCCCCTAATAGTGTCACTCCCTTTGGGGCCATTTTCCTTCAAACCAGCACAGTGGTCCAGGCTAGCCTCGAAGGAGCCACTGGCCTTTTGTTTTGTTCTGGGCATGTTGTTATGGTACTTTGTTGTAATGTACACATACAGAACAGAGAAGGGGAGAAAGTCCATCTTCTTCCCGAAAAGCTGGGGATAGTTCAACGGTAGAGTGCTTGTCGAGCCTGTGAGAGACCTTGGGTTTAATTATCAACCACAAACATGGGGGATAAGGGCTACAAAAAAGGAGAATAAGAATTCAAGAATTAAAAAAAAAAAAGGCTAGGCATGATGGCACTCAAACACTCAAGAGGCAGAGGCAAAAGCAGGTGAATCTCTTATGTATGAGGTTAGCCTGGTCTACAGAGCTAGTCCCAGGCCAGCCAGGGCTACTTAGTGAGATCTTGTCTTATAACAAGTGAACAAACAAAAACGTAAGCTGAGAAAATTGAAATGTGAACTATAAAAGTCACAAGTTAGGGCCAGTGAAATGGACATTGGGTAAAGGAGCTTGTCACCAAGTCTGACAACAAGCACACTCGAATGCACACATGCACACACAAACACACACACGTACATACACACAATGCATGCACAACCATACGTACACACACTAAATGAATAAATAAATGTAAAACTTTTTTTTTTTGGTTTTTTCGAGACAGGGTTTCTCTGTGGCTTTGGAGGCTGTCCTGAAACTAGCTCTTGTAGACCAGGCCGGCCTCGAACTCACAGAGATCTGCCTGCCTCTGCCTCTGGAGTGCTGGGATTAAAGGCGTGCGCCACCAACACCCGGCCAAATGTAAAACATTTTTAATCAGAGAGTAAAACCCAGGAAATAATAAAGGCTAGGGGTAGAGTTCTGTGACCGAGTCCCTGCAACATGCACAAGGCCCGGGGTTCAATCCTCAGTTGTCAGGAAAAGGAAAGTAAATGTCACAAGTCCACCAAGAAACCAGTACATGGTGCCTCTCTCTCTCAAAATCAAAGTGTTATGCTCTACCCACAATTAACTTGTTTGCCAGTCTTCCTTAATGGACCTTTTCTTTTCCTTTAGGAAGTAATTACCATACATTCTGGACATTGGTCAACACTAGCAATTACTACTTTTTTCTTTTGTTTTGTTTTGTTTTTACAAGACAGGGTTTCTCTGTTTTGTTTTGGAGGCTATCAGTCCAGCCTGGCCTCGAACTCACAGAGATCCCACTGCCTCTGCCTCCCGAGTGCTGGGATTAAAGGCGTGCGCCACCGCCCGGCCACAAATACTACTTTTTAATCTACATGTCATTAAACAATGGGAAAAGAAAAATGAAACAACTCAGGTGAATAATGAGCAAAGTTAGCTCTTTTTTGTTTTCAAAATATTATGTTATGTGTATGGGTGTCTGTCTGCATATATATCTATGTACTACATGCATGGCTGGTGTCCAAAGAGACCAGAAGAGGGGGCATCAGGTCCCCTGGAGCTGAAGTTACAGACAATTATAAATCAACATGTGGGTACTGGGAATTGAACCAAGGCTGTGCTTGGAATTGAGTCTGTGCAGCCCCCAAAATCAGTTATTTTTATCCTGGATCACCAGAAGTGAATTTTTAACTTGCCCGAGTGGTTGATCTCTGACCTGCTTGCTCTTGGGTAACATCCAGTCAGGACAGCCTGTCTTTTGAACAGAAGGTGTTGATTTTCTCCCTGTTTCCCAGCTGGCTGGAGAAACAGTGCCCATCTGGGCACAGGAGGAAGCTTCCCCAGGTAGCCTGAGGCCAACTGGACTCCCCACAAAGATACCTTGTCCAGCCAGGAACTGGGAAACAACCGATAGGCAAATAGGACTTTGCAGGGTAACAGGATGGCCCCAAATCCTTCCTAGAAAGAGCTGATTTATTAAACCACCAATTTAGAAAAGCATAAAAATAAAATAATATAAAAATGAGATACACATTTGTTAAGATGGCTCAGCGGGTAAAGGCCCTGTTGTCAAGCCTGACAAGCCGAGTTGATCCATGGAACCCACATGGTGGATAGAGAAAACTGACTTTTCTCAAAGTTGTCCTCTGATCTCTACACCATGGCATGCATGTCTACATACACACACACACACACACACACACACACACACACACACACAAAATATATGTAACAAATAAATATAACACTCAGGTCCTCTGGAAGAGCAGCCAGTGCTCTTAAACACTGAGCCATCTCTCAAGCCCCTCATTTTTAAACCAACATCACATGTTTAAATTTAAATTTATAACATATTCATTGACTTAGGTGAATTCTTAAAATATTTTTAAGATTTTTTTATTATTTTAATTATGTATAGGAGTGTGCATCCGCATGTGGGCATGTGCACAGACTCTCAGATCCCAGAGGCATCAGATCGCCTGGAGCTGGAGTTATAGACCTTTGTGAGCTGCCAGACACTGATGCTGGGAACAGAACCCTGGTCTTTTGTAAGAGAAGCGAGTGTTCTTAACCACTGAGCCATCGCTCCAGCCGCCACTCCTGATTTAGAGGATGTGTTTTGCTTTGTTTTACTTTTTGTCTACCGCCTGAGTGCAACACCACCCCCGGCCCCACTGCTGATTAAAGAACAGATACAGAGCTCATCATTTTTGTATCACTAATAAAAATAAACCTAAAACCAAATTTCATATTACTTCAACTTTAGCGAGAAGACAAATGTGGCCAGTACGACATAAAATATAACTATTGTAAAGGCTCAAGCAGTGTATGGTTATGCTAAACCCAAAACCTAAACACTGCATGTGAGTCAGGAAATTAATAGTAAATAAAAAGTCAATGGCGCCGGGAGTTGGTGGCGCATGCCCTTAATCCCAGCACTCCGGAGGCAGAGGCAGGCGGATCTCTGTGACTTGGAGGCCATCCTGGTCTACAAAGTGAGTTCCAAGAAAGCCTCCAAAACAGAGAAACCCTGCCTCGAAAAACCAAAAAAAAAAAAAATAGATAGAAGGGGAAACTTGGAGAGGAATTGTAGAACAATCTGTAGCTAACCTGGTATTAGCTGTTAGAAATTAAATGACAGTTGAGTGGATCACGGAAAAGTAAAGAGCTATAAACCAGAAGGCATTGGGCAAGCAAGATAACTGATTCAGCAATAGTTACAATGTCTCACATTCAGGAGGCTGGAGATACATTTGTGTTGACTTTGTAGAATTTTGGAAAGGCACAATGAAAAGCAAAGCCTGGAGAAATGACTCCCTGGGGAAAGCACTTCCTTGAGCACCAGAGTTCAAATCCCTAACACTGAATGTTGAGGAGGGATGGTGGCGTGTCTGTAATCCTCATACTCATCTGCAGATAAAGGAAATCCCCAGAGGAAACTGGCTACCTAGACTACACAAAGAGGCAATCTCTGGGTTCAAGTTAGAGATCTTGACGCAATACATAAGACTAATCAACACACATGAGTTCACACACAAATACACACAGAGAGAGAGAGAGAGAGAGAGAGAGAGAGAGAGAGGCACCTATACACTGTGAACATACATACCCACATACACCACACTCACGTGCACACACAAAAATAAATAAATGAATAAAGGAAAAGAACCTTATTTCTGACAATGTGAAGCTAAGCACGACTATATTTCTAAGATGAATTTTTATTTACATGTATGTGTATGTGAAGAATGCCACATGTGTGTGGGTGCCCTCATAAACCAGAAGAGGGCATCAGACATTCTGAACTGAAGTTACAGGCAGTTATGAGTCACTCAGCATGGGTTCTAGGAAACCAAACGTTGGTCCTCAGAAATAGCAGCAAGTGCCCAATGCCCACAGAGGCCAGAAGAGGGCATCAGAGCCCCTGGAACTGGAGTTACACGCAGTTGTGAGCCACCAAATGAGTACTGCAAACCAAACTTGGGTCTTCTGGAAGAGCAGCAGGAGCTCCTAACCACTGAGCCCCTATATGTAAGTTTTTAATAGCATTTAGAAATAACACAATACAGAGATGGAGAGATGGCTCATCGGTTGGGAGCATCAACTGCTCTTCCAGAGGACCTGAGTTCAATTCCCAGCACCCACATGGCAGCTCACAACTGTCTGCAACTCCAGTTCCCGGGGACCCAACACCCTCACACAGACATACACACAGGCAAAAAGCTAATGCTCATAAAATAAAAATAAATAAACAAATAAATAAAAAAGAAATACCATAATACTTCCAAAATGCAATAACTCTTTACCACCATATATGATAGGAATAATTGCATCCTGCTTTGTTATAGATGTCCAACTCTTGTTAAGAAAACAAGCTCAGCAGGGCATTCGTGATGCACACCTTTAATCCCAGCACTCGGGAGGCAGAGGCAGGCGGATATCTGTGAGTTAAAGTCCAGCCTGGTCTACAGAGCAAGCTCCAGCCTCCAAAACTCCAAAACAATACAGAGAACCCCTGTATTGAAAAACCAAACAGAAAAAAGAAAAAAAAAAAGAAGAAAACAAGCTCAAACAACAAGAGAAAAGACAAAGGATATCTCTGAAGTAGAGTGCTTCTTGCTCTTGCAGAAGACCAACTTCGGTTCCCAGCATCCATGTAACTCCAGCTCTACACATCTAATGCCCTCATCATGGGAACACACACGGCATATACACAGAGACAAAAACACAGACATATACGCAAACAGAATACATCTTAGTAAGATTTTTTTTCAAGATTCAAGGAAAAGATTTTTAGCAGTTCAAAATTCAGTTACATGAGCAATTTGATGAGCACAATTGTGAGAAATCTTTTTTGTTGTTGTTGTTTTGGGGTTTTTTTTTGTTTTGTTTTGTTTTGTTTTTTTGCTGTTGTTTGTTCAAGACAGGGTTTCTCTGTAGCTTTAGAGCCTGTCGTGGAACTCACTCTGTAGACCACACTGGCCTTAAACTCACAGAGATCCAGCTGCCTCTGCCTCCCAAGTGCTGGGATTAAGGGCGTGGAACACCACCACCCAGCTATGAGAAATCTTTATTTATTTATTTAACTTTTTATTTTATGTGCATTGATGTGAAGGTGTCAGATCTGCTGGAACTGGAGTTACAGACAGTTTTGTGAGCTGCCATGTGTGTGCTGGGATTTGAACCCTGATCCTCTGGAAGAGCAGCCAGTGCTCTCAACTGCTGAGCCATCTCTCCAGCCCAAGAAATCTTAGAATGAGGTATAGACAGTAACAGGAAGAGAAATAAACAGTCAAAGAAACAAAAAATACAGCCATGGGCCCTTCAAGCACTAATTCTGGTGGTCTCTCCTCCCAATTTCTCCTCACAGGGTTTTGTAAGCAATGACTTACCACTAATGTCTTGGTCCTTTCCCTCCACTTACTCTTTAGACTAAGCCATGAGTCTAACCCGTGAGCAGCCTGACCTTGAAAGTCCCAGGATCCCCAGAGAAAAACTCACAGTTTTCACTGAGTCGGCCAAAGCGTCCCACTGCTCAAATGGCATGGACATCTGGCTCCTCCGCCAATGGTCATAGCGGGCTCGGCTCTCTGCGTTGGTCAGAATCTCCTTTGCCTTCTGCAATTTCTGAAAAGTCTCCACTGGAAAACAGGACAAGAGATGAACACCGCTCTCCTGGAGGACTAAACTCCAAAACCATCCACCAGATCTCACTAGAATCTGGACTCAGCCACACACTGTGAGACTTTGGGTCAGTCTCCCTAGTCAGCTTTAGTGTCCTCATTTGTTTCGCTTTGTTTTTTAAGATTTATTTACTTATTATGTACACAGTGTTCTGTCTGCATATATTCCTGCACATCAGGAGAGGGGACCAAGATCTCACTATAGATGGTTGTGAGCCACCATGTGTTGCTGGGAATTGAACTCAGGTCCTCTGGAAGAGCAGCCAGTGCTCTTAACCTCTGAGCCATCTCTCCAGCCTCCTCATTTGTAAAGTATATCATAGTATGACAGTGAGGGATGGTGAGATGGCTTGGGGAGTAAAGACACTGAGGCCCAAGATCAATCCCCAAGACGCACTGGAAGGAGATACGTGACTCAAGGAAGCTGTCCTCTGAGTTCTGCGCATGCCCTGTGGCACACGTGGAATCAATAATAAGTAAATAAATGTAACTTGAAACAAATTTTAAAGACAATGAGACCTTGCATGTCAAGAACTTGACAACACAGTTTAGCCCCTGCTTTTACTGGGCCCCAGTGGTGTCCAGTTGCTAATAACACAGATGTAAAACAACTGACCTTATTAGCAGGAGAGACAGATATAAAAAATAAAACAAAAAACATAATTTTGTTTATAGGAAAAACCCTTCTGTTGCTGTCAGTCAGAGTGAATAAATAGTGTCAGACAAGCCGGGCGTTGGTGGCGCACGCCTTTAATCCCAGCACTCGGGAGGCAGAGGCAGGTGGATCTCTGTGAGTTCAAGGCCAGCCTGGTCTACAAAGTGAGTTCCAGGACAGCCTCCAAAACAATCCAGAGAAACCCTGTCTCGAAAAACAAACAAAACAAACAAACAAAAAAAATAGTGTCAGACAAACCATCTAAGGAAAGATTCCCGGTGATTTACATGAAGCTGAAACTGCCTAGGCAGCTGCAGGACCCAGTGCCAAAGAAAGAATAGTGAGTGACAGGGATAACAGTGGACAGAAGTCCACAGGGCTTTACAGTAGCCAGAAGTCCGCAGGGCTATACAATGGGGAAAGATCCACAGAGATCCTCAGCGCCATACAGGGAGAAAAGAATGAAGGATCCTGAACTCAACCCTAACATTTATACTCAAGTTGATTTTTTGACAAGAATGCCAAGACAATTCAACTGTGTGTGTTTGGGGGAAGAGGGCACAACCTCTTCAGCAAGTAGGGTTATATAACTAGATTTACACATATAAGAGAATAAATTTTGGGGGGGATGAAATAGAATAAAGTATAATCACACACACAAGAAAATGCCGCCATGAAACTCACTACTTTATACGCTAACTTTTTAAAAAATGTAACACTAGACATGCTGGCACACACCTCTAAAACCAGCATTAAGGAGACAGATACAGGAAGATCTCTGAGTTCGAGACCAGCCTGGTCTACATATAAGAGTTGCAGAGCAGCCAGGGATACATAAAGAAGCCCCATTTCAGGCCGGGCGTTGGTGGCGCACGCCTTTAATCCCAGCACTTGGGAGGCAGAGGCAGGCGGATCTCTGTGAGTTTGAGGCCAGCCTGGTCTACAAGAGCTAGTTCCAGGACAGCCTCCAAAGCCACAGAGAAACACTGTCTCGAAAAACCAAAAAAAAAAAAAAAAAAAAAAAAGCCCCATTTCAAAGAGAAAAAAAAAAAAGAGAATGAATTTGATGCCTACTAAATCATATATTTAAAAACAAAAAGCTGACCCAAATGTAAGAGTTTTGTATATTAGAAACTTTTTCCAAGATTTATCTTATTGTTTATGCAACCATCCCCTGTGAGAAATATTTTTTAAATATTTTATTTATTTATTGTGTATACAGTCTTCTGCCTGCATGCCAGCGGAGGGCACCAGATCTCATTCAAGGTGGTTGTGAGCCACCATGTGGTTGCCGGGAATTGAACTCAGGACCTCCGGAAGAACAGTCAGTGCTCTTAACCGCTGAGCCATCTCTGCAGCCGAGAAATATTTTTTACAATGATTTTTTTTTTTTTTTGGTTTTTACGAGACAGGGTTTCTCTGTATTGTTTTGGAGGCTGTCGGTCCAGCCCGGCCTCGAACTCACAGAGATCCGCCTGCCTCTGCCTCCCGAGTGCTGGGATTAAAGGTGTGTGCCACCAACACCCGTACAATGATTTTTTTTATTTAAATTAGAAACATGCATGCTTCAAATGTCAATCCCAGCTCCCTCTCCCATGCCTCCTCCCTTGTCCCTCCACCAGTACCCCCCCAAGCCCAATCCCCACATCATTTCCCAGGGAGGGTGAAGCCCTCCTTGGGGGGATCTCCAGAGTCTGTCATTTCATCCAGGGCAGGACCTAGGCCCTTCCCCATGTGTCCAGGCTGAGAGAGCATCCCTCCATGTTGAATGGGCTCCTAAAGTTCATTTGTACGGCATGGTAAACACTAATCTACTACCCAAGGCCCCAGAGATTTCTGAGGCCTCCTCACTGAGACTACATTCATGGAGTCTGGATCAGTCCCCTGTTGGTCTCTTAGCCATCAGTCTGGGGTTCAAGAGCTCCCCCTTGTCCAGTCAGCTGAGAAATATTTTTAAATGTTAAAAAAAAATCCACCAGGACCAGATGACCAAATAACAGGCTTGTATGCTTGTTTGTACATGCAAGGTCTCACTATGCAGCCTTGGCTGGCCTGGAACTCACTATGTAGACCAGGCTGGCCTGAACTTAAGAGATCCACCTGCCTCTGCCTCCCAAGCCCTAGGATTACAGGTGTGCACCACGACACCTGGCTCCTCTTTTCTTTCTTTTGAAGGAGTTCATTATCTCGGGGATTTCACTAGTAAAGCTGACTGACACAAGGGATTGTCTAGATCAGGTGGGCTTGTCTGTGCTGAACTGCCTTCACCGATGTGGGAGACACAGCCTGGAAGTGGGCAGGACCACCCTCGGGTCTGGGGCCCGGAGGACTTTATAAAGCAGAAAAAGCTAGCTGAGTACTAAGCATGCAAGCTTTCATTTCACTCTGGTTTTGTTCTTTAAGATGTACTTGTGAGCCGGGCGTTGGTGGCGCACACCTTTAATCCCAGCACTCGGGAGACAGAGGCAGGCGGATCTCTGTAAGTTCGAGACCAGCCTGGACTACCAAGCGAGTTCCAGGACAGCCTCCAAAGCCATAGAGCAACTCTGTCTCGAAAAACAAAAAACAAAAAACAAACAAACAAAAAAAAGATGTACTTGTGTACTTGTGTATTCATTCATTCAATCAATATGTATGCCTGCATGCCAGAACACTGTATACATAATATTCAAAAAAAAAAGAAAAAGGTCCAAGGTCTTGAACAACTCTGTCCTTGACGGGACTAATGGCTTCAAGTTCCTGCCTTGACTTCTCCAAAACGACAAACTGTGACCTGGAATTGTAAGCTAAAACGAACCCTTTCTCCTCTAACTTGCTTCCTGTCATGCATTTTATCACAGCCTCAAAGATGAAGCTCTGACATGGGAAATGGAGATAAAATGGAAAAAACGGGCGCACAGCAGGAAAGGGCGCGTCTCTGAATGTCCTGCAAAGACAACTGGTGACAGCTGCTTTACATATAACAAGGGTGTATCGGTTTCCATTCCTGTTGTTTTGATAAAATGCCCTGACAAAGCAGCCCAGGGAAGAAGGGCTTATTCTGGCTCACAATTCCAGGGTAGAGTCCATCATGGCAAGAGTTTTGGGACAAGAACTTGGGGCAGCTGGTCACATGATTCACAGTCAGGAATCAATGAGGAATGAACGCCCCTGCTCAGCCTCCTTTGTATGACACCCAGGACCCCGGCCCAGGAATAATGCCACCTCCCACAGCCTCATTCTTCTCACCTCGGTTAACCTAATCAAGATAACCCCACACAGCTGGACTGTGGTGGAGCACACCTTTACCCCAGCACTCCGGAGGCAGAGGCGGGCAGATCTCTGTGAGTTCGAGGCCAGCCTGGTTTACAGAGCCAGTTACGGAACAGCCTCCAAAGCTACACAGAGAGAAACCCTGTCTTGAAAAAAAACAGAAAAAAGAAAAAAAGAAAAGCCAAAGAAAAAGAAAAGGAAAGAAAGAAAGAAAAGAAAAAAGAAACAGAAACAGCCATTAGTAAATTCTTACCAGCTTTGGAGTTTTCTGGTTGCTTGTCAGGGTGACATTCCAGAGCTCTGACCTTAAATTCTGCCAAGATTTGCTCAACCTAAAACAAAAAGCAGTGTTTCAAATAACAAGGGCAAACTGAGGAAACTTATTCTCAAGCTTCCTAATGCTGAGATCCTTTAATACAGTTCCTCATGTTGTGGTGACCCCCCAACCATAAAATTACTCCATTGCTCTTCGTAACTGTCATTTTGTTACTGTTATGAATCATAATGTTAATATCTGATATGTGATCCAAGGGGTTGAGGCCCACAGGTTGAGAACCTCTAGTTACATCATGTAAAACCATGAAGAAAACTTGACTTCAATGCCTAGTACCCATGTAAAAATCAGGCCTGGAGACCCACCCGGGAAATCCCAGTGGAGGGGTGCAGACAGGAGAATCTGGTGGTCACTAGCCAGCTAGTCAGCTCAGTCTGGTGAGCTGAGACTGTCTCAAAACAATAAGGTGGAAAACAATCAAGGAAGACAACATTAACCTCTGGTCTTTATATACACACGTGCACAATTGTACATTAAAAGAGAATCAAATGTCTTCAACTGTCCAGTAGCTGTACCATGTATAATAAAGCCCAGATATGGATATTGGGGTTCAAATGGAAGATCAGAGAGGCAAAGCAGCCAGCTGCTAGAGAGTTCTCACCTCTACTAATGCTCAAACCGAAAGGGGTGATCCACTGAACCTCAGATTGCATCTCCATACTGCACTGCTCTCCACCAAGCCTCAGAATCCTAGACTACTCTGCTACTCTCCTCAATGTGGCTGGAGACTGAGTGCCTAAGACCGATTTTGCTTCTTCCTTATATACCGCTCTAGTGCTGGGATTAAACGTGTGAGCTCTGTTACTCTTTTAGGCTGATTCACTCTTGTGGAGCCCTGGGTGGCCTTGGACTCACAGAGATCCATCCACCTCTCTGTCTCCTGAGTCCTGGGATTAAAGGTGTGTGCCACCACTGCCCAGCTAACCAGTGTGGCTGGCTCTGCATTCTGATCCTGCAGGCAATCTTTATTAAATCATAAATAATATATCACCACAGATAACTATGCCTACAATTCTAACACTCTGAGGCAGAGAGCAGGGGAACCAGATATTCAGTCTTGCCTAAAAAGGATGTTTGGGCCAAAAGTGGAATAGAAAACCTGGTGTGTGTATATACAACAAGGTCATGCTATGTAGCCCTAGCTGACCTGGAATTTATTATGTAGACCAGGCTGGCTTCAGACTTTTTTTTTTTTTGTATCACATTAGAAAGCATCCTGGGGTGGGGAGCAGTTAGAGAGATGGTTAGAGAGATGGCTCAGTGGTTAAGAGCACTGACTGTTCTTCTAAAGGATCTGGGTTCAATTACCAGCATCGACATAAGCAGCTTACAACTATCTAACTACAGTTCCAGGGGACCCTACACCCTCACACAGGCATAAAGGCAGTCAAAACACCAATGCACATAAAATAAAGAATAATTTTTAAAAAAAGAAAGAAAGCTGGGCAGTAGTGGTGCATGCCTTTAGTCCCAGAACTTGGGAGGCAGAGGCCGGCAAATCTCTGTTCTGTGAGTTGGAGACCAGCCTGGTCTACAGAGTGAGTGAAACCCTGTCTCAAAAAACAAGACAGAACAAAAAACAGACAAACAAAAAAAAGAAAACATCCTAGGGACCCTAGTTCTTGCCAGGCAGAGGTAGGCAGATCTCTGTGAATTCAAGACTAGCCTAGGCTACATAGTGAGTTCCAAGACAGACTGGGATATGGAGAGACAGAGACAGAGACAGAGACAGAGACAGAGACAGAGACAGAGACAGAGACAGAGAGAGACCTTGTTTCAAGAACAGAAAGAGAGAGAGAGAGAGAGAGAGAGAGAGAGAGAGAGAGAGAGAGAGAGAACAGCATCTGGGGCCATGACCTCTGCATAATGTGGATGCATGTGTGCAAACACACATGTAAAAATACGTTTTAAACATTATGGTACCAGTCTATGGAAGCAAACTGGCAGTGCTAACATGCCATTGCTACTTCCTTCTTTATACTTTTTTAGATTTGCCAATTTAATTTAAGAAAATGGCTCATATCCGTCTTTCATTACTTCAGGGTTAAGCACAAACCTTCTGTGGGGCTGACCTTGAGTAAACCAGTAAAGGAGGCTGGTTTGTTTCCAGAGAGTTCTATCTGTCTCCCACGGTCTCCATCCCACATGCCCAGGGCCGAATGCAGTCTGTGGACAGACAAAGCCCTTTACACCAAGGTCCACTAGGCCCTGCCTTCCTGATACAATATCTAGTTATCTGTCTGTACAGTTGCCTATCCTGCTGGCAGTAAACAGAAACCATGTTTGACTTTACTCACAGTCAAATAAACCAAGACATTGAGAGGGTGACAGAACATGACCAGTGTTTCTGGACTCAAACACCAGTGTTCTCCTGACCCTTAAATAAATGTACATTTCTAAAAGTGAACTAAAGCACATATATATATATATATATGTATATATATAATGCATATATGCAAAGAACGTATTATGCATACTATATATTCCTACTCTTTGATCCAACCATTCTAGTTCTAAAAATTTGTCTGGAGAAAAAATATGAAACGGGACAAGAATTTAGCTCTATAATGTGTGGTTTAGCGAGAGACACAGACCATCAGAGCCACGATGAGGCCAAAAGGCAAGGCTTTCTCCAGAACACAAGCTGCAGCGCTGTCCCCAAGAGAGGGGAATACAGCACCTCTGAAAAGGAGTTTGGGGTTTTACAGTGATTTTAGATGGGCAGGAATGTGGCGGGAGAGCATTAAGGAGAAAGGAACTGTTACAGGCAAGAGGGGACTGCAGTAGGCAAAATTGTTTTGGGGGTAGAGGTGGGAGTTCTGGCCATTAGAATAGCAGGAGGCTGTATCTGGGTCATCCATCTTGGTGTCTTAAGTGACTCCATCTTGAGCCAAAGATTTGGTCCAACAGTGAAGAAAAAAAACCCACAAAATTTAAATTAAAATGTATGTATCTATAATAGGATATTTCTTTAAACTAATTGTAACTATAGGTATCAAAAAATTTGCTTTGTGGCTGGGCATGGTAGCTCATGCCTTTAATCCCATCCCCTGTGAGGGAGGCAAGCGGATGTCTGTGAATTCAAGACCAGTCTGGTCTATATAGTTAGTTCCAGGCCAGCTAGAACTACATAGTGAGACTCTGTCTAAAAATAAATACATACATATATACATACATACATACACACACACAAACATACTAGGTAAATACTTTAAAATGTATTGCAGGCTATATGAAATAAATTTACAAAATTCCAAGTATAGAGTATCCCTATGCATCCAAACAGAACTCAAACATACATACATACATACATACATGTAGGTACTCACATATGTACATAAAACAAAAATAATAAACAAGTCCTTCAAGTTATAACACATTTGTTTCAATTATATGGTGTCTAAGGAAAGCATTAATTTCTTTAAAGGAAGAATCTGCTCTCAGATTTTATATATAACTTGATTTAAGTGATTTGAAGTTATAATAGTACTTGGATTCCTCATATGCCATACTAGTATATAATATATGGCACATATATACATTTTAATATTGCCTACAATAACGTTTTCCATAACAGAACCACACTGTACTCTCAGCAAAGCACCTTGTAATCATAAATGAAATGTGTAGCCGGTAACAACCCTACTGCGTTCTTCAGAATTCACTTAGGTACAGGCAGACACTGATGGTGAGAAGAAATGTTATTTCCCCAAATCCATGAGACGTTTGCTGAATCAGGCGACTACAGGCGGATGGCTCCGCCTACTGAGTTCTAAATCACAGCCTTTATTGTTTCTCTAAAGCAGTGGTTCTCAACCTTCCTAATGCTGCGACTCTTTAATACAGTTCTTCAAGTTGTGGTGACTCCCAACCATAAAATTATTTGGTTGCTACTTCAGAACTGCAATTTTTGCTACTGCTAGGAACTGTAATGTAAATATCTGATGTGCATCCCTAAAGGGGTCGCGACCCAAAGGTTGAGAATCGCTCCTCTAAAGTAAATAAAACTGTCTGAATGTGGTCCCTCTCCCACATAACACTGTCAAGTTCATAGTACTCCCCTCAAATTAACCAGCAAGCATTTAAATCCTTCAATGTCTCTACACCGAAACTCCTTTAAGATGGTACGAGACTAGAGTTCCAGGAGATGTGGCTAAAATCTCAAAGCCGACCTGGTGAGAGTGCGCAATCCTGCTTACCGAAGAGAGCTCGTCACATCCCAGCAGGGCGTAGTAGTCCTCGGCGCCCTCCGGCCTGTAGTTCAGTATGGCATCCATTTACAAGGGATGACTAGTCCTCGCCGCCGGCGCCACTGACACGGTGAGCTTCGGGGTAACCGCAAAGCTCTTTACATTTCAGCAGCACTTTCCAAAGCAGCCAGCTCGGACAGCGGATGTCAACCCAGTCCTTGGCAAACACAGTTTCTCATTGGCTGTTTGCCCAGGAGAGCACCTGCCGTGCGGGGCTGCTGGGATCTGTAGTTTGGAGTTTCTGATTTTGTTGTGTTGTTGTGTTGCTTTGCTTTCATTGAAAAGCAATTTTTCATACAATATATTCTGATTACGGCTTCCGCTCTCCCAACTCTTCCCAGATCCTCCCAACCTCCCCAGCCACCCAACCCCATGCCCATTTTTTCTTTCTCTCTTTAGAACACTAACAAGCAAACAAACAAAAACAATACTAAAAGCCCCGTCTGGCTTGAACCTTTGCAGGCTCTGTGCACGCTCCATGAGATCATATGTGTATCAGTGTGTTTGTGGTTTGACGAGGTGATTTTTCCCTATCAGCAGATATAAGGTGTATTTTTACAAACTTCCCACTCTAGCATTGCTCTGTTATCAAGATAGTTCATATTTTCCTAATCTTTTAAGAGACAGAAGAAAATCTGAACTGAGTTTTTAAGATTTGTTCAGCAGGAATAGTGGGTACTTTTTTTTACGAGTTTAAATTAGATTGTCATTTTTTAAAAGATTTATTTATTTATTATGCATACAGTGTTCTGCCCAGGTGATTGTGAGACACCATGTGGTTGCTGAGAATTGAACTCAGGACCTCTGGAAGAACAGCCAGTGTCCTTAATCTCTGAGATGTCTCTCCAGCCCTAGCTTGTCATTTTTAGCAGTCGTAGATGTAGTCCAGTGGGTAGCGCTTAAGTGCCACCAGCCAGGACCAAAGAGAGAGAGGAGAGGGAGAAGGTGAAGGAAATTAAGAAGAGATCATACATTTTGGGTTTTTGTTTTGTTTTTGGTGTTTTATTTTTGTTTTGTTTTGTTTTTCTGAGGGGGTGGTTTTTTGAGACAGGATTGCTGTCCTGAAACTAACTGTACACCTGGCTGGCCTCGAACTTTCTGAGATCTGCCTGCCTTTGCCTCCCAAGTGCTGGAATTAAAGGCGTGCGCCACCCGGCCAGAGATCATACATCTTGAAAACGGTGGCTGGAGGCAGCCGGCAGGTAAGAACACTTGCTGCACGCCCGAGTTCAGTTTCCAGCGCCCAGCACCATTAATTAACCCCAGATCCCAGAGATCAGCACCTCTGACTTCCACAGACGCCTGTGCTCACATGCACAGACCCACCTGCAGACACACACACCTACACGTAATTAAAAATAATAAAAATTAAACAGATTAAGGAGCCAAGTATGATGGTTCACACCTAGAATCCTGTCTCAGCACATCAGATGATCAGGATATGAGGAGTTCAAAGGTCAGCCTTGCCTGCATAGCCAGCCTAAGGTTTGAGAACAGCCTGGGATACAAGCATGGTGATACATGCCTTTAAAGCCAGCATTTGGAGGCAGAGGCAGGAAGATCTCAGAGTTTAAGGCCAGCCAGCCTGGTCTCCAGGTGGAGTTCCAGGGCAGCCAGGGCCACACAAAGAAACCCTATCTTGAAAAACCAAAAAAGAGGAAAATTAAGGTCAATCTATATTATGGACACAGTTCTGGGACAATGGCAGAGCTGAACCTGTGAACAAGGCGGCTTCAGTCCCAAAGCAAGCTGGGCTCAGAGCAAGGTCATGGCTGATTCTGGAAAGGACCCTTACAAATCCCAACAAGACCTACAAAATGTATGTAGATGCCAACTAAAGACGGGTGGTCCTGTTAAGCCACTTCTAATTCAGAGAAAGAGGATGATTGCCTCCAGGTAAGAATGATAGTGACCAGCCGGGCATTGGTGGCGCATGCCTTTAATCCCAGCACTCGGGAGGCAGAGGCAGGTGGATCTCTGTGAGTTCAAGGCCAGCCTGGTCTACAGAGTGAGTTCCAGGACAGCCTCCAAAGCCACAGAGAAACCCTGTCTCGAAAAACCAAAAAACAAACAAACAAACAAAAAAACAAAAACAAAAACAAAAAAAAAGAATGATAGTGACCATGACAAGCCCCAACCGCAATTATTCCAGACCATGTGACACTGGAACACTGCCTAACGGCTGTGACACTGACCTATCAGCACCGTGTTCTGCGTAGTATATATATGAAAAGACCACATCACAGTCCATCATGACAGGGAAGCTAAGGCAGCGCCTGAATTCACAACCAGAAGGAAACAGCAAAGCACACGCGGTACTTCTTAGCCTGTGTTCTCCATGTATTCAGTCCGGGGCCCCATCCAAGGGAAATGTTGACACCTGTGGTTTTCCCACCTCGGTTAACACAATCCAGATAATCACAATCACGGGCATCCCCAGAGCCTGGTCTCTTGAGTGATTCTGGATTCCGGAGTCTCTGATAACACTGCCCAAGGTCATAGCTGTCTATAACCTCAGCACTGGATTGTACAGATGGGTAGATGCCTGGAGTTTGATGACAACCCAGGCTAGCCAAAGTGGTCAGTCCGTCAGTCGAGAGACTATCTAAAAATAGGAGAAGCTGGGCAGCCCTTGCTTTAATACTAGCAACAGAGAGGCAGAAGTGGGTCTCTGAATTAGAGATCAGACTGGTCTAGATAAAGACTACCAGGCCGGGAGCTGGAGAGATGGCCCAGCGGTCAAGAGCACTGGCTGCTCTCCCAGAGATCCTGAGTTCAATTCCCAGTTCACAACCATAAACAGTGTGACTTGATGCCCTTTTCTGACAGAGCACTGGTATACATAAAATAAATTAATAAAAAAAAAAAGAGAGTGCCGGGCCGTGGTGGCGCACACCTTTAATCCCAGCACTCGGGAGGCAGAGGCAGGTGGATCTCTGTGAGTTTGAGACCGAGCCTGGTCTACCGAGTGAGTTCCAGGACAGGTTCCAAAACAATACAGAGAAACCCTGTCTCGGAAAAAAAAAAAAAAAAAAAAAAGAGAGAGAGAGAGAGTACCAGGCCAGCTAGGGCTGCATAATGAGACCCTACCTCAAAACTAAAGAAATGATGGAGATCCGTAGAGGAACACAGCCAAAACTCTCTGGTTTTCCTGAGCACACTGTGCACACACGAGTGAGCTTGTGCACACGCACACAAATTTCTAATTAAAAACAAAGGGAGCATTTGCCTTCTGAGCAAGTGTGGAAACCTTTCTAACCTGAATGATCAAATGAAACGGGCGTTGAGCAAAACATGATCTCTCTCTCTCTCTCTCTTTTTTTTTTTTTTTTTTTTTTTTTGGTTTTTCGAGACAGGGTTTCTCTGTATTGCTTTGGAGGCTGTCCTGGAACTCACTCTGTAGACCAGGCTGGCCTCGAACTCACAGAGATACGCCTGCCTCTGCCTTCCGAGTGCTGGGATTAAAGGCGAACATGATCTCTTTTGTATAGCTACGTAAACCTGAACTTTTTTTCTGGATGTATACACCCCGCCCCCCCCCGCCCCCGTCTCCTGCCACCCCGCATCCCCCAAAGGGTTTCTCTGTGGCTTTGGAGGCTGTCCTGGAACTCCCTCTGTAGGCCAGGCTGGCTTCGAACTCACAGAGATCCTCCTGCCTCTGCCTCCTGAGCGGTGGGTTTAAAGACGTGCGCCACCAACGCCCGGTGGAATAGACCCTTTTTATTACATTTTATTATTTATTTGGGTGGGTACACAAATGTGGAGGTCAGAGAACCATCCGTGAAAGTCAGTTCCGTCGTCACTCTTTGTGGGTCCCGGAAATGAAACTCCGGTACGGTGGCAATCACCTTTACCAGCTGAGCCATCTCGCTGGCCATTGATGCATTAAATGCAAATAATAAAACCTAACACTAAAGCTGGGTGTGATGGCTCAAACCTGTAATCCCTGTTTTGAGAAGCTGAGGCAGGAGGACTGCTGCGAGTTCCAGGCCGGCCTGAGGCTGGAAAATCCTGCCTCAAAACAACAACAAAACACTTAACACGATAAAGTAAAGTAAAAGTAAAATTCACATAAAAGTTTTCAACAGTGTTGAAATCGCTTTTATCTCAAGATGCAAAAAAGACTCTGACAGGCCGGGTGTTGGTGGCACCTGCCTTTAATCCCAGCACTCGGAAGGCAGAGGCAGGAGTATCTCTGTGAGTTCGAGGCCAGTCTGGTCTACAGAGTGAGTTCCAGGACAGCCTCCAAAGCTACAGAGAAACCCTGTTTCGAAAAACCAAAAAAAAAAAAAAAAAAAAAAAGACTGACATCCTCAGGACTAGTGGGCGTCTAAAACCGCGCATACTCCTCCCATCTAGAAGCGCGGCTCCGTCTGGGACTACATCTCCCATAAGGCATAGCGCTATTGCACAAAAGTGACGTCAGGGAATGTGTCAGGACTTCCTGTCCAGAGTCGCCTGACGTCTTCTACAGGAGCTCCCCCAAGTTTTGTACAAATGGTATCTGCTCCTGCCTTCCCCTTATGGTTCTTCCCAGCCTGAGCGGCGTCCAAAGAGCAATCCCCGAGTTCCAGAAATTACCTGCAACCGGATCTGGACACAACCGAGCTGTCGAGTGGAAGTTTACTTTTGTTTGTTTATATTACATTTATTTGGTTGGTTGGCTGGTTTGAGTGTGTCGTGGTAGTCAACCTTGCCTGCTAGCGTCTTTACGGCTGAGCCATGTCCAACGCTCTGTGATTGAAGTCTAGATTCGACTTGGTTCCCCACCCTCTAGGCCTGCTCCTCGGAATCTCCTGATCCATCCCAGCCTGAGATCCAAGAGCGAGCAAACAGATTTTAACTGTCCTGTTTCCATCTGTAAAATGGGGCAAAACCTCTTCCTTTTCTGGCTGCCAAAGTTAGACAGTGTCCTGATCCAAGAGCAGGACGTGTCAAAGAAAACAAAAATAGCCTAATTCTTCAAAGCTGGTTTGTTGTTTCTTTGTTTGGGTTGGGTTGGTTTTGGAGACCGTGTCTCACGTAATGTAGGCTGGCCTAGCGCTCACTGCGGGAGGGTGATGTAGCATGGGACGGTCTTGATCCTCCTGCCTCCACCTCCCCGATACTGGGATTACAGGTCTGTGCCACCGTGAGGGGTTATGCTAGGGATGGAACCCGGGCGTTCCAGCATGCT